GTGCTGAGAACACCATGGACAGCCAGAAAGTCAAACAAATGGTTACTAGAGCAGATCAGTCCTCAGCTTTCCCTAGAAGCCAAAATGACCAAACTGAGGCTGTCTACTTTGGGCACATCATGAGAAGACACAGCTCACTGGGAAAGATAGAGGGTAGTATAAAGAAAAGAAGGCTGCATATTAAAAGGATAGATTCAATCAAGGAGACCACGACCCAGAGTCTGCAGCATTTGAGCTGAGCAGTGGAGGACAGGGGGGCTTGGAGGTGTCTCACTTATGGAGTTGCCATTAATTGAAGTAAACTCAAGGGCAGTTAACAGCAATAACAAAAAGAAAAAGAAAAAGGTCAGTTTGTTCTCTGTTATAAAAAGAAGGTGTGGCTCTTGGAAGACAGGTCAATGTAGAGAGTTTGTTCGAAAATTCTTGTGCATTTCTTGATTGCGTCCAATTGTCCATTCTAGGAAATTGGACGCTGGAGTAGACTGTATCTGACCCAGGTCAAACTTACAAGCACTTATGACCACAAGGTCATACATTTCTGACATCAGTCACAAAGGTTCAGCTTAACAGTGCCCTACCACCATCAACAATTTTCTTAGCATTTGCAGTAGCACTCTAAAGCGAAATGAGGTAAACTTATCGCATGGCACTTAAGGAACGGGAACCGAATGGAAGGGAACGGAATGGGGTAAAAACACATTTTACTGCACGGGAAAACGCCACCGATGCCGCCGGGGTCCCAACTGTTCCTGGCAGCCGATTTTGAAGAGCAATTTTGAATTGTCCTTCAAAAATCGGCTGCCAGGAGCAGCTGGGAAACGCTTTGTGGACTCCCAGCAGCTTCGGTGGCGTTCTCTCATGCAATAAAATGCGTTTTTGCTCCGTTCCATTCCCGTTCTTGTAAGTGCCATGCAATAAGCTTAACAGACACACACAGCAAGCTAGCCAGGAGCTGAGAGTTAATGTGTACAGGATTAGGGCTGATACTTGACATTTTGTTGCCAGATGTGAACAGTAAATTGCAGTGTGTATACAAGGTGCACCTTCTTGGTAGTCTTATTAAAACAACAGCAACATCTGTATTATGGTGCATACATCCTTGAGAAGAAGTTCCATTGAACCAAAGGGGACTAACTTCCAAGTAGAACTGTGTAAGACTTAATTACCATATATTAATGTGGCTTACAAAATATTTTTTAAAAAAACATAAAATCTACTAAAATGCATTTACAAAAAACTAAGAGTGGCAGTGGCGTAGTGGTTTGAATGTTGGACTACGACTCTGGAGACCAGGGTTCGAATCCCAGCTCATCCATGAAACCCATTAGGTAACCTTGGGCAAGTTACACTCTCTCAGCCTCAGAGGAGTGCAATGGCAAACTCTCTGAACAAATCTTGCCAAGAAAACCCTATGATAGGTTTGCCTTAGGGTCCTCATAAGTTGGAAATGACTCGAAGGCACACAATACAAGGGTTAACTGTACAATTGGTCTTTCAAGACATCCTAAATTGGATCCCTGAGGGACCTGCCTCATTCTAGCAGGGCACCCCATTGCAAGATGACTCCATAGCACAGTTACCAAGCACCTAAGTAGTTTGTGATTGTGAATACCTTTTGGAAAGGGACTGGAAGGGAGGTGGAAGAGGATTATTGTGGGCTTCACTGACCTCTAGTGATAAAGATGGTTATTACAGCTTTTAAAATTATTTTTAAAGGAGATTGCAGTCCCAGGTGGGTGTGAGGAGGAATTACTGTGAAGACATTTAACAAAATAGAAGTATAGAGATGATAGGAATCCCAATGCTCATGTAGTGAAACCACCTTGTCAATAAAGGAATCCACAATTAAAGCATCCCTGACAAATAGCTATCTCACTTCTGTTTGGGGAAAATAAACTCAATGAAGGAAAGTTCATCGCCTTCCAAGATAGCCTGATCCATTTTCAAATTGCTTTTATCATCTACCTAATAGTCAGAATTTTCTTTGATGCAGTTTGAATGCATTGGTAAAAATCTTGTTCTCTGGAAGAGCAGAAAACAAGCTTGCTCCATCTTCCACAGAGAGCCCTTATATATTTTTAATATTGCTGTCAAATCACTTCTCAGGTCTAGCCACACTGCAGAAATAAAACAGTTTGATACCACTTTAACTGCCATGATTCTATCTTGTGGAATCCTGGGATTTGTAGTTTGGTGAGGAACTAGAGCCAAGCTGAATACCTCACCAAGCAACAAATCCCAGGATTCTACAGGATAGAGTCATGGTAGCTAAAGTGGTATCAAACTGCTTTATTTCTGCAGTGTGGAAATCAGGTTAGTCTTCCCTTCTCTAGGGACATTATCACACGTGGTCCAGAAACTGAAAATAAAGTGGAAACGAGGCATCCCGAAAATAAACGGGAAATAAACCTTGTTTCCGCAAACGTCATTACCTTCATTGCGAAATAACAGTAAGTGTATCAAACGTCCACACACAAGAGAAAAAAACTCATAAATGTAGTAGAAATGAGCCTCTTGCACATGCGCAGATAGAGGAATGCTCGCAGGAACCATGGGTAATGACAGGGAAATGCTCCCCAATACGTATTTGGTTATCATACTTACGGTAAATGCGAAATGATCCTCATCACGCAACTGCAATTCCTCAAGAAACCGAATTTCAAAAGATCTCGGTTCTTTCCACTTTCTGTCCACTTTGTGTCGGGGTTCTGTGTGACGTTGTGTGAAAACATGGGCAAATAATCCGGTTTCGGTCGGGATTTCATTTGGATTTTGTTTGGATTGGGCCCTGTGTGATAACGTCCTAGGATAAACATATCCAGCTTCTTCAGCCATTCTGCACAGAGCCTGGTTTCCAGAGCCTTTACCATCTTGGTCACCTTTCTTTAAGCACATTCCAACTTGTAAATATTCTGCATTAACTGTGGGTAACCAGACCAAATCATATCCATCTTCTCACAGAAATATGGATATATGAAGGAACAGTGCTAGAGTATTGATTAGTGTAGTGTGACACATCCAGTATCCTTGATCAAGAAAAGAATTTTAATATCTCCCTAATAATCACAGACTTCATCTGCACTGCAGAAATAACCCAGCCTAACACCACGTTAAGTTCCAAGGCTCAATGCTGTCAAATTCTGGGAATTGTAGATTAGTGAGACACCAAAGCTCTCTGACAGGGAAGACTAAAAGTCTCCCAAAGCTAAAGTTCCCATAATTCCATAGCATTAAGGCATTGCAGTTAAAATGATGTCAACCTGGATTTTTTCTGAAGTGCAGCCACAGCCACGGAAGCAGTTACTTCAGAGTAACACACCAGTGGAGTAATGGCAGATGCAGAATTCTTAGAATGATCAGATGTGAAATCATTTTTGCAACTAATGTTAAGTGTGCCAAAGATTGAAATCTATGAAGTGCTTCCCATAGGAAAGAGGTGCATTAGGCTTCAGTCATGTTTCCCTTCTTATGTATCATATAAATCAGCATGGCAGGGGGTTGGACTGGCTGGTCCTTGCAGTCTCTTTCAACTTTATGATTCTGTGATTCTAAAGTCAATCTAAACCAGCATCCCATTTACTAGAATGGCCAGCCAGATGCAATTAAGAAATGCACAGGAATTTTCAAACATACTCTCTGCACTGACCTGCCTTACAAGAATCACTCCTTTTATAACAGAGAGGAACAAACTGGCCTACTTCTTTTTCTTACCTGCTACCAGAATGGCTTGAATTATACTATATTATATTATACATATAGTGTTGAGTGTGTTGATGTATTGGAAGTACTAGTCAAACTGAAGACCTCTGGAAAATGGTTTTTCAACATGATTATTTTAGACCTTGCCCCTGGGCAGAAAAATGTACAATACTGGCTTTGAGCAGCCTAGTTTCTGCACCCACCTCTCTTAAAACATTACACCTGTCTTTACTCTGATGATATGCTTTAGACATGTTTCGTTCCCATTGATACCTCCAGTGAGGATTGATCAGGGGAGTACTGACTCCTCTTTGGGCAAAATAATTATTTTGGAGATGCCCATGACTATAGTGGCTTGTTCTACCCTCCTGCCAGGTGACAATTGCAAGCCTTGAAAAGAACAGCTCTGGAATATCCCAGTACAAAATATGATTCAGTTTAGGGCCAGTATGAGAATAGTCTAGCCCTCCAGAAGTTGTTGGATTGCAACTCCCAGCATTCCTCACCACTGGCTATGCTGGCCAGAACTGCTGGCAATTGCAATCCAAAATCATCTGGAGGGGAGCATGATTCTCACCTTTAAATTATGGTCACCACCTTTGCATACACTATGTTGTATTTTGGGGTCCTCCTATTTTTATATCTCCCATCTGGAGATAGCATGTTTTTGAGAGATCAGTGACCTTTCAGGAACATGAGATCAAGTTCCCAGAAAAGAAAAAAAAGAATTGTGTCCCCTGGAATAGGTGTACATCCAGGTAAACAAAACCATCAACTCTAAAGTGCTCCTTTTTTCCCTCAAGTAATCTGCATTTCCTCTCAAAACATGAGGCAAAGGATCTCTTTGCATCTAAAGCAGTAAGCCAGACTCTCTGCTTACTTCCTGTTATGTCTCCAGCCAAACTCTACCACTATCCCATCCATCCATCTCAGGAATATCCTGATCCAATCACTGTTTTTGATACATCGATTTAAAATCATCAATGAGTCCAAAATACTATTGTCAATTTCTGGGACAAGTCATTCAGTCTTTGTTACTTGGTCAGACAGCCTATTGCTTAGGGCTAGTTGTAAGGTATAAAACCTAACTTCTGTGCACACAGACAGCATACATACCCATGTTCCTTGTTACCCTCAAACTTTCCAGTCTGAGCCACTCCACTTTCCATGGTTTTCTCATCAGACAAGTAATTATAACTCCACTGCAAACCCCTACAAACTTTGCTATCTCCTTTCCATATTTCCATTTCAGTTAGATCTGTATGCTGTGTTTGTTTGAATTGCTATCTTGTGTGTGTGATTGCACTCCGCATTTTTCTAAATACAGTCATCCACAAATGTTTTATCCATGGATTCAACCATCCAGTTTGAAATATTTAAAAATAATATAAATTCCAAAAGCAAACCTTATTTTTGCCATTTTATATAAGGGACACTGTTTCCCTATGCCAATGTATTTAATGGGACTTGAGAATTCTTGGATTTTGGTATCTACTGGGGGGGGGGTTCTGGAACCAAACCCCACAGATACCAAGAGCCCACTATAAAACCTCCTTGATTCACCCAAGACCTTCCAGTTATTTCTGGTGAACATTGGTGCACACAGTCCAAAGGTTACCCAAGCCTCTTGCGAAGCTAATTTCCCCAACATTTGAAGTATCACTGACAGCTAGTGGGGACCCCCCAGTTCTCCTCACCTGTTCTTTGGGTAATACATACCATATTTTCCGGTGTATAAGATGACTTTTTAACCCTGGGAAAGGG